TACCCAACCGAAGAGGTTTGATTTGCCCGCGTTTGCCCCGCGAGTTGTTCAGACGAGCACTGCGCGGAAAGCAACAGCGCGCTCAGGGAGGAGGCGCGGCTTAGGCCGTTGCCAGATCCAGCGTACGAAGATGACATGGCGAGCTCCCCGGAAACGAACCAGGACCAATGACTTGTCGAGTGGATGACGACAGTCCAAAATTAACCATCGATGAAGCCAGCAGCCGTAACACAGCAAACAGCAAGTGCGCTACCTGCCCCCACGCCACTTCATCTACTATATCTACAAGACGACCTCACGCCCCTCCCCCACAGGAATCCAAAACGTTTCTTACCTGATGACGGCTTTCAACCCCGTAACCAAACCTTGCAAGACCTAACCCCCACACCCTACCCAATTCCTACCACTGAAAAACCGATTCACCCATTACAACGACCCGACCAACAAGCCACCTCTGACACTCATAAAAGACTCCCGACCCCAGAAAATTGATAACGAACCCCCCCAACCAAAAACCCCACGTTCCTAAAAAGCAAAATGGGCCCCTTCCGTATTGACCTCAATCACTTCTTAATCCCTCTGACTTCACCCAAGACCTACTTAAATGTTACCAATAAATTGCCATGACCAGCTAAATGCAACAGATCCCAACTACTAGTACAACCTCTCCACGATGACAGCAGTACAACAAAATCCGTGACAAACTTGAACTAATACCACCACTGACTTAAAGACTTATACTTCGTTAACGTCTCATATTCGTACAACCGTGCCACGAAGAAATTAGAGAAAAATTTGTTCTGAAAGGACTGCCCCCCAAATATGACTTAGACAGAATCAAGACAAAACCTCCACGACCTGCAACATACCCTGCTTCCATGTCACGGGAAATGAACCGACGCGACTCACCACGGATCACTGACCACCACTCGGACTTACGTTATAGAAAACTTACGAAAAAAGGACTGACTGAAACAAAAAACAAACGAAAAACTGACATCGACTACTACAAAACCAGAATGAACCGTACCAAGAACTCACGACGAATACCCCATGTAAAAGGATGCCAGAACTTTATCACAACCAGGACATACTGCAGACGGACCGTGACCCTGCGCCTTTGCGCCAAAACCCACCCCACTGAGGAATGCCCCTCTCTATCCCAGACCATTACCCCCTTCACGTCCCACCTGCTGCCAATTGCAATCGTAACCCACCCTGCCATCGACCCTATCTGCCCTTACCTTTGTAAAGCCAACATGTCAGAGAACCAACAAACAAGGACCCTCCACTCAAGCACCCACCTCCTGAATTGGTCGCATAAACTCCTTTCCCCCCTTAGACCATTAAACAAAAACCTACTCCTCTGCTTTCACCTAAAAACCAACCTAACCCAAACCCCCACCCCTACTTACTCAAAATATAAAAGGACCTTACTCTCACTCTTACAATCTCCTACCCTCAAGAAATCCTACCCCACCTCAGATCCTTTATCGACATACGTGAATGTGCCCAGAAGACATCCTAACAAAGCTAATAACCGCTGCAATTAAAACTGTTGAAATACCACTAATGCCCCCCCCAGTCCGAATTCCTATCCTTTTCCTCGTGGAATGCACGCGGCGCGTTTGCCCAGAAAAACCATCCTCGCCCAGTTCCTAAAAAGATTTACTCCCATCGGGATTCCTACTACTACAAGGGACAATTGCTGATCCCTACAAATCCTTCACCATTCAGAATTACACTCATCTTACCGAAATATAGAACCTTGCCCAGGAGCGTACGGCCATCCTTATTAAACGATGCCCTACCACATATACCCTACAATTACCTACAATTCACCTCCTCGAATGTTACTTGCCATCTACTCGGAACCCGCCACTTCCCCCATAATTATTATGATTCATCCAACAAAAGACCCCACACCTCGTTCCCACCTCTGACTTGAACAGTCCTCAACAATCCTACCTACCCTTTATACCTTGCAGGCGGGGGGGGGGAAACCCCCTGAACTCAAATTACCGGGGGGCTGCTCGACCAGCACATAAGCAGACTGGCGGACTTGAAAGACTTCTTAAGCAACAACCACAAATTACATATTAAAATGCCCCCCCGGACCCACCCACACCGAAATGGAAATCCTCACGACATCCTCGACTTTGTCCTGCATTCCTCCCACTTCCACGTTACTATACCCAACCCAAAATATGACCTCTACGACTTCTCCCGACCATTTCCCTATCATATTCACCTCCTCTCCACACAACTTACATCTCCCCCAAACCCCCACCATCCATAACACTAACTGGGAAGGTCCTACAAGCATATCCTGTCAAAAAGATACAAGTCCAGCCAACCTCCAACATTTCCTCAATAGATAAATCCCTTGAACACCTAAACCACCACATCCTCCGTACGTACCAAAATAAAACCACACCCACACCAACAACTACACCCCCACCCTTCCCCGACGAAATAATACTTACCATCGCAAAAAAAGACAAATACAACGACGTTTCTACAAACACGACGCGACGAAGACAAAAGACTTTTAAAAAGACTCCAAAGAACAAGTACATCGACTCGCTTCCAAAATACGAGACAAACAAATACAATGACTACTTAATTGACAAGAGCACCCCAATAACCTACCATAAAGTTGATAAAGGCAGTAGCGACACCCCTACCGAATTTCCCCCATGACACAGCCCAAAATTCCCAACCTTTCGATCCCCAAATCATGCCGACACCTTTGGCCAAACCCTGGCCGACGCTTCCGCGACACCCACATCCCATTCCCCAAAACGTACTCTTTAACAGCCACTGAGAACCCCAACCCTATCCCCAAATAGCAAACGATTGGACGGACAAACAAACACGAAATAAGACAGATTACTGACAAACACCAACCAAGACAAAGCTCCTGGACCCAAAGGAATACGTCCCACCCAACCCAACTCCGCAACCTCCCAAAAAATGCCATTGACCTCATCACCCTCATCATTAATTCTGTTTTCAACTTCTCGTACTTCCCCTCCATCTGGACAACAGCCCGTGTGTCCATTGATTCCCAAACTGGCAAGATCTCGGCAACCCACCAACTATAGACCATCAGCCTCCTCTCCATCCTTAAGTAAAACATTTGAAAAAAGTGATTCTCCTCCGCTTAACCCCCTATCATCGACCCCAATCCTAGACCAATTCCAATTCGAGCTTCCGGTTGAGGGTCGCTCGGCGGCCCCCAAACACTTAACCTACCCTATCCATAGCTCCCCCTCCAAGACCGCCAAAGAAATCCCCACCATCCTTTACCGACCTCACCCAAGCCTACGACACAATATCCCCCTATTCTCCTAGCGAAAATCCGCCCCACCAATCCCGCCACATCCTTCTCTCTCCGTATTAACCCTACAGATCCCTATGTCCAATATACAATCCAAAAATCCCCAACACCCATCAAGCCGGCGGTCCCGCAGGGCGCCGCTGCTCTCTCCATCTATTTTCCTATACATAAACGACCATCCCTTCCCACTCCCGGAGGTAGTGAGACAATCCTCTATGCCGATGATGCTGGCATTCCTTGCTTCCTTCCGGTGAACCTCTCCCGCTCCCTACGACAACGTCCAAAAAAATCCCTACGACTCCTCCACCTTGGGCCTCCCAAAACTCATCACCATAACCTCAATGCCCAAGCCTTCTTTCTCTATAAAAACTACCCATCAACTCCCCCCTGACTATAACACCAAAATTCTCTCTTTTGAAAGCTGGACGAAGAGTCTCGCAAGAGACAGGCGTGCCATAACTAAACCTCTAAGATCACTCACTCACATCTCGGCAGACATCCTCTTCCGCCTATTTTTTCACGCACAAGTGTCCATGCTAGCCGTCGCTCGCCACCCTCCGCCCCCACAAAGGGCATCATAGGCGCCCGCAAACAGAATCCCCCGGATCTTCTCCGCGAGCCGCTCCTCGAGGCGGCAGGGAGCCCCTCCCACCATTTCGACTCATTCTTTGTCCCCGGCGACCGTCGGATTGAGCACCGGAACAGTCGTGTTAGGCAAGCCGGTAGCACTGCTTCCAATAATTCCCGAGGAAGTCTCATGAAATAATCAACCAGACAGCAGGCGCTGCCCTGCCACCGCCGTAATCGCCACGTGTCTATGGACGCACAAAGCCGATTAATTAAAAGCGCTGCAAAAATAGGTCGCTGAGAGGAGGGATTGCCTGGGACCAATCCATAGAAAAGACCTGTAGAAACTTTGAGAAGGCAGACGAAACTACCAATTAAATTAAAAATATCACACAGGTGGCGAAACAAAGGGATTTCTAAAGAGGAGGGGATAAGAAGCAAGGGAGCAACATGGAGAGGAACGAAAATACACTTGAGATCCGAAATTAGAGAGACAGAGGCAACGAGATGTTGAGATGACTGGTGTGGGACTAGGAACGGCGCAGAGTCTGTTGGACGGAGAGATGAGAACATGGATGGAAGGGAGGATGGAAGACGGCCTGTTCTGTAGTGTAGTGAATGTGAGTGTGTAAGAAAGTGACGAGAATAGGGCAATGGAGAGGAAAGGTCGATCGCGGATCGCAACCCATTTCTTAGTGTACTAAGCAGCATTCGCCTGGTATTGTATAAGAAAACATAGAAAGCTACCAATCAGAACAGCCAGGCGCTTTAACCTATTTGGGGACAACTACTGAATTTGTCGTAGTGTCAAAAACGCTGTGCCTGTCGGGACTAGAATACACGACCACCCAGTCAGATGCAAAAAAGTGACATCATTTGTTGCCCTGAACCTTTGCTTCTGGTGGGCAGGGAAAACGGTGAAGGGGAGAATGGAAAATGAAGGGAGGGGGTGAGATGGCAGGGATGCAAGGGAACGGAAGTCAGAGGGAAAGAACAGTGGAGAGAAGGAATTGCGGAGGGAAAGGACGTAGTGATGGGAAGACGGAAGAAAGGAAAGACGGAAAGGAAGGGAAGATGCAGCGAAGGAAAGAAGCAGCAAAGGAAATATACAGTAAAGGGAAGATACAGCGAAGGGAAGATGAATAAAGAGACCAGGAAGAAAACGGAAAATTAAGAGATGAAGAAAAGAAGTTAGAGGGGAAGGGAAATAGAGAATAATACAGTGAGCGGAGAAATATGGAAACAAGGGAAAATGGAACGAATAGAAAGTGGTGAGAATGGTTGCTAGAAAAAGGGAAGACGGAGAAAAGATAGGTGGAAAGAAGCAAAACTAAAGAGAATAGGTGATGGAAGAAAGGCAAAATGAAAAGAGATGGGAAGATAGACGAGATGTTGAATGAAGAGAACAACAGATGGTGAGAAGGGTAGATGGAGAGAAGAGAAGATGGAGAAAAGCAAGATGTAGAAAAAGAATAATCGAGAAATGGGAAGACGGAGAAATCATGGTGGAGAGGGAAGATGGAGAGAAGGGAAAACAGAGGGAGAGCATCAAGAATGTTATTCTTGTTTTTGAAGATATTAACTATGATTAATAGAATATGAGGGAGGGAGGTACACCTGAAAATTGCATCCATGAATGAATGTAGGTGAGCATTCCCAATTGAAGCTGCCTACGCCATAAAATAAGCCGAATACGCCGTAACGCTTGGGACCTGACAATGGGATACTTTCAAACTCGAGGAAGTGACTCGATTTATCGAAACTGCCGTGGACGAGAAATGCGGAAGCGGTCTCACCGATCAGCCATTTCTTGGGGTTTGCAAGTTCTTTTCCTGACGAATGACGGAGTACCGTTACAATATTCCTGCATAGAACAACACTAATTAAGAAATCACGAAGCACATATTTTAATGATTCCCGTCAGGTTAATTTCAAGCACTTTCAGTTTCGAAATGTCAATTATATTAATTAAACGTAATATATATGATCAATTTTGTTATTGCATTATTTTTTCTTTTTAAAGCCAACTGCACACTCCATTAGGGCAAGGGTCTCCTGCTCGCGCAGGTATTTATTAATTCTTTTTTAATGAAGTGATATGATGCTGATGATGAAGGATGAAGGGACGATCCCTAATACATCCACACCCGAGGCAGGATTCCATCGACCACAGGCGGAACATTCAGATCGACTATGAAATACTATTAACACCTCTTTCTGCATTGTTTCAAGTATTCTAAAGCAACTCCACACTGTTCATCAGTGAAATACACAACGATGATTCATATACGATCGATAATTGTGTAACATATAACAGACATCCTAATCCTACCTACATATGTAGCTATCTTCGAAATCCTGCCATCAAGAATCGAACACGTTTTATTGCAATGGCATAAAGTGATACCCTGAGCCACCTAAGCAGTTCCCAAGTTTACAGCTTCTACTACAACTACATTATACAACTGCTCTACAGCATTTCTTTCAAGTACTCTGCAGCAACTCCACATTCTTAAGCTGTGAATTATATAATCACGATTCACTCACGATCCACAATCGTGTAGAAATTCTACGGAATAAGTTATCTTAGATATATGGCTTCGCCAGCATTCTAGCAAGGAAGGGTTTGTTTGTTGAGTGTTCGGTTCGGTTTTACGTAATTTTCTTTGACAATTTGAACGAGATAGCCGAATTCGTTACACAAACGTCCGCGGACATCGCGAGATACTTGAGTATTGATAGCTCATTTGCAACAAAACAGAGACTACAAGAGTAAAGCGTAAAATAAAATTCAAGAAATGTCACGAGAAAAGGGAATGTGGAAAGATAGATAGGAAAAATGGAAAAGGGAGAGAAGAGGGATGAATGGGAAGAAAAGTGAGATAAATAAGAAGAGAAACGGGAGAAATGTAGAGAGAAGAGGGAAAAATGTGAAGAAAGAGAGAAATAAAAACGAAGTGAGATAATTGAGAAGGGAAGGGGGAGAAGAGAGAAGAAAGAGATAAGAGAGGTGAGATAAAAAAGAGAAGAGAGAGGAGAGAGATAGGAGGGAGACAGGAAAGGAAGAGAGAGGAGAGGGAGAGAGGAAAGAGAGAGAAAGAAAGAGGAAGGAAGAAGAGCGGAGAGACTGGAGAGAGGGAGAGAAATTGGGATACTGTTATCAGGAGGTTGCAAGTCTTCGGATTGATGGAAAAGGAAATTTAGCGTGAATTGCAAAAAGGTTGTGGTGAGCGAATGCGTATGATCAGAGCGATGTTAAGAGCCTGCTTTAATATCCATTAAGCATTTTAATGGAGAGAGGGGTAAATGGTGAAATATTGCGTTGCTATGTTTTCCCACAAGAACGCCAACGACAACAATGCTATTGAAATGGGGTGAAACGAACGAAATTTTCATAGTACCCAAGATCATAAGTTAGAGATCGGGCAATAATGGACAACCCAGGCAAGATAGTTTAAATCAACGGGCGCGTAGCGCCGCAGTGTCACTACCCTGAAGAAGCCTGCGAAATGTCGGGCGAAACGTCGGCACCCCAGCCAACGACGCGGCGTCTCCCGGATAGCCGAGAATTCAATAATGGACAACAACGGGCGGTCCGTGGCGTACGGTTCAGAATGATCGCCTTCCACCGCTGGAACTCGGGTTCAATCCTAGGCGGTTCCAAGTGTAATTTGTGGTGGACAAACCGGGTTCGCGGCAGGTTTTCTCGGGGTACCCCCGTTTCCCCCTGCCAATATGCATTCCATCGGATCGCTCCACTAGTCATTCCTTAACCTACCCTGTCACTAACCAACATTACGATACGTATCCCCAAAGTTTAGTTGTAACCAAGTAAAGAACTAGATCGCAATCTTCCATGGTTGAGAAATTTATAACGCTTCTTCTCTGATCGGCTATTTCTTCGGTTTTGTTTCCAAGATTAGTTTTGTGTTAGTGCCAGAGCAGTAATCGGCTTAAGCGGATCAGGGCATCAATTGATATTGCTGCAATGCCTCTCACCGGGTGGTTCTAGATTCGAGTCCCGACTGCGGCAGGATTTTCCTCACTAGCTAGAGAGGAACGTCGAGTTCAGTCTCTGACTGGAGGAGAATTCTAGCGTTGGGATGTTTTTCTTGGAATCTTAGATCAATGCTAGGCGAATGCTGGAATAAAACCCTAACAAACGGGCCATGGATCGCGTGCGATCTTTCTTCCCCTTTTCCCGTCCTCACCCCTTACTTACACTCACACTTACGCTCACCAGCCTAGCACACATCGCGGGAGGCCAGTGGGGAGCTTAGAGTTTCTCTTGGCTGGCGCAGTTCCCCGCTGGTGGGATATACTGGTTGGTGAAACCGAGCTAGCCGACGTGTAGTTTTCGCCATCTAGCAAAGTGTGACGTAGTGAAATAAGAAATAAATTTCAATAACAAAATAAAATAATATATTCAAAGATTATGTACAAGTTACAATGAATTGCTAATTTTAAAACACTCCGGCAACCTTTTCCTTTCAGAACACTGCTTTACCGCAGAAAACACAAGCCACGCGTGATGCGCGGTGTCGGACCTCGGTCCCGTGACAATTACCGTCACATGGCCTGACGCCAAAATTTAACCCGGTCGTGGCGACCGTGTGCCTACAGCACGCGAGATTGTCTGGCCCTTACTCTCCGGACATCTCGCCCACACTCCTACACCCCTTGTACACACGTACAAGCTTCCCGATGCAAACTGAATGAGAACGCGGGCGCAGATGGCGCCGCGTTAAATAGTTGAGGCTGACACCCCCACCACTGTTCCATAGATAGACTCGCAGGCCAGCCTTTGGTTTACGCCCACCCACAGAATTCTCAGGTTGGCTGCCTGCTTCCGTAAACGAGGCTCGCCGGCAGCATCCTCGGAGTTTACAGCCTCCGGTATTTTTGGCTCTGCGGCACTACCTGAGTCAACCGCCCGAGCGCAAACTCCGGATGTTCAGGCTCAACCCCTTCCTCCCCCGCAGCGTACTTTCACCAACGTAACGGTTCTGGCCCTCGTGTTAACGACGCCACAAAAGGAAGATCACCACCACCTTCCGTGATATAAACATGGTCTACGTGGAATTAAAAATCGATACAAAAATGCCCACTAAATGTTCGATAAAACTTTATCCAAACGCATCTATTATGTCCTAGAAGGACGAGAAAATGTTAGTTTATGAACAAGAATCGAAAGCCTATATACATGAACAGAATGTCGCAATACACATATCCTGAAACACAATCACATTGAAATTTTGGGAAGCTATAATAAACACTTCGCATATTGCACATGGGTGGCAGACTTACGTTTAGTCGTTGCACATCATCGCGTTTGCTTTCTCGTATGATTTTCACATGTTTACACTGGTGTTGCTTCACGTATGGTTATTGTATTAAAATAAATTGATTCGGAGCGGAAACTTCCCGAAATAGTAGGTCCGAGTTATCAGTTACTATTGTTCACAATTCACATTCACTATCACTGCGCTTTTCAAAAATTATTTCATTACCCATATCTTGTTGTGATATACAAAGGTTTAGCAGAAAAATTAGAGCCTAGTTCTCTAACGCACCAAAAAATGGCAGCACAAAGTCACGCGAGACGTCGCAGAAAGCACTGAGTTTCAGAAGTCAGTGTGACACAAGATATCCAGCAGCTGAGCTTTTACAACTATGAACGTAATTTCTATCGCGATTTCAAAATGAACGTCAAGTTTGAACCAAGAGCGATTTTGAATTTTACGTGCAACACAGCAGATCAGGCATATAGACGTAGCGCATACTGCAGCAACTTTATGAAGATGTAGCTTTTCACGCAGGTGAGAGAGAAAAGTCGACGAAAGCAGCCAGATTTATAGCGCGCGCTATACTGAATGAACCTCGGCAATACACCCTGTCCACGTTCTCTCCCCGCACGCGACTTTATGGCAAAAGACAACACGATCTCATTCGCGAATGCGCTGAGCTTTTTCGAGTTAGCTGCTGGGCACGTCGTCCTATTCTCGCGGTTAAAAATTAAATCCAAAGATTAAAAAAGGTTTGCTGACATTCAGTGCGAATTGCAGAATGTGCACGATACGTTTTGAGAACTGGAGTTCCAGAAAACGTACCGGAAGTAGTATGAACGGTACCTTGACAGTGACAATGTGCAATATGATAGATTGTCAGGTACATTTTTGTGAACAATGCTATGCTCGAAAATTTGTGATACCACCTCGTATGTAGATAAAAATAAATATTAACGAATGTATAACTTTCAGTTGGCCGACAATATTTGTAATAACTGCGCATAAGAGTGTCCCGTCTAGTTTCGATAGCTATTTCAACGCGAATGCTTAGCAAAACGTCCGCGCACGCTCTCTTCCCCATGTGGGGAGTGATAGGGAACCACGGCCTTCTTCCTAAAAATTGTCTGCCTGATGTAAGACATCGTGCTACTGATTGTCTCATGATGACGTGTAGTCACAAAATCGATACCTTAAGGAAGTTACTGGTGTGAGGCAGCCACAGTGCATGACAAAATGGCGCCTGCACGACGCGAAATGGCGATCGATGAGGTGGCGTAATAAAAATACAACTTCAGAATTTTGGTATATTCACTATCCGAAATGTTTCTTGAGATGAGTTTAAACAATAATTTCTATCCAGAAACTCCATTGTCAATGTTGAATGACAAAATGATAATGCGGTAAAAAATCACGTATTATAATCACGTTGAACGTTCAGGATCGTTACACCAACACCCTGTTAATTAAGCAGCATCGCTCGAACATTATTACAACACAGAACAAAATATTCATAAAGCGCTATTGTACTTACTCTAAATGCTGCACCTCGTTGTAGATACACACCATTTTTTCGCAGACTCATCACCGAACACAATATGGATCTTGGCACCCGTAAATGTAGAAAACACGAAACTTCCAGCAACAGTTCTTTAAACTAACTGGTAAAGCAAACACACAAATAAAATCGCAATTTCAAATCACTTTGTAGATTGAATTTAAAAATCTCACGGAAAATGTCAGTCTTCAAGAACATTAGTTCCATAACAATATCATAATAATATACTCAGCATAAAAATCTCAGAAATCCCGAGTGTTGAGAATTAATCGAAAGTAAAAGTGTCGGCAATTACACCCAAACTCAGTTTGACAGAATTTTTAAGAAAATAATTTTGCTCAGGACGTCTAACACCGACGGCCACGCAAAGTCGAATGTCCATGAAGTTCTTTTTCCTCTTCCTTTTGCACGTCTAACACCGACGGCCACGCAAAGTCGAATGTCCATGAAGTTCTTTTTCCTCTTCTCTTCCTCATGGTAAGGAGTGGGGGCAGTCGCGAGCACTCATTGGTCGACGTAGAGCCTGCACGAACCTCGTCAAGATGGCGCTCACCCGACACGAAATGGCTCTAAATGATGAAAAGTGTATGGAATTTTCAGGTTTATCGTCTGAGTTTTGTTGTCACCCTACTTCACTGATTCTTAAACGATAATTATGGTTATAAAAGCTACGTATTTTTTCCTTTATGCATCGTAGTAGTAATGGTTTTACACCTAAACTCAAGTACGCGAGAAAGTGGTAAAAAACAACCGACAATTACATAAACAGATTGAAACATTTTATATGCATTTACGCAGCACTTATGCAGCCTAATATGTATTTGCTCTGCAAACCCGTGATTAATGCCAATTTTACATTTATACAAATTTATTATGAAATAACAAAAACTAGTTGTGATAACTAGTTATTAAAATGTCTATTTCCTTTGTACCAACACACGGATGCGTGTTCAAACACATTGCATTTTACAATAATATGATTTTAAACAGGTCAATAATGAAAATTTAGAAAAACAAAATTATTCAAAACTACTGTAGAATTGGACCGTATTGAAACAAACTGAAAAAGGAAAATTCAAACTTCAAGACATTAATACAGTTTCATTGAGTTTCGACCAACAACAAAAATAAACAAACAAAACACAATTTGCTGCCTGTTAACATCTTTATACACTACCAAAACCGTTCGTGCCAGTAACCAACGGGTTAAGTGTATCAATTAATGTGCCTCTGAACGGTACGTCGTAGGGTTCGAGTCCTGACTTTTGACTTTACTAGATAGCTAGCTCGAATTCAACTGCTGCGTCGAGGACATTTCTGGCGGCTGCTCTGATCGGTACTCTTCCTTGGTTCCTTTGATCGACACCTGGCGAATGCCGCAGCATTACTCTAACATACCGACCATGGAACGCGCGATCTTTCTTTCCTACTCCTTATCCTCACCTCGTCCTTGTATACACATTCATATGCACCCCATGCCATGGCACTTGTCGCGAGGGCAGCGGGATGTTGAAGCTTGTCCCGTCTGGGGATGTGCCCCACTCTTGTGAGATACCTGTTTGGGGAATCTCCTCAAAATCAGACTTAGGTCGGCGTAGTATCTCGCCATCCACTGATGAAGTCCATTGCTACCGCCCGCGATGAAACGGGGTACTATACTTACGGGATCAATTTCCCTATCTGTTGACTCGCCTGGAATCTCTAAGTTAATCTATCCCACGATCGATTATGCATAATTTAATAAATTATCTACCTTCAACGGGCAGCAGTTACTCTTTCACTGAAATTCAAGAATCGATAAATCTATGCCGCCGAACTAAATGACGCACAACTGTTCAATTACAAAATCCCTCAATTATTGCAAAGACATAGTTACTAATAAAACACTTCGCATACTGCAGTTGGATGCCTGAATTACAGAAAAGACACTGTACTTCGTCACGCTTGCTTTCTTGTATTATTTTTGTATGAGCATTATTTCATGTATCGCTGTTGCCGTGATGAATTGTTTCAGAATAGAATATGTCAGGAAGCATCACCGTTAAGCAACTTGATGTCTTTCGCAATTCATGTTCACTATCACTGAATTTTAAATTGAATACGTGGGACAATACTGTAATATGGTTTGATAGGAATAAATATTACGAAATTTACAACCTTTAATAAATAAATAATGGATAAAATTCCTGAGCACGAGATGTCACGTCTAGTTTCGATAACTACTCGAACGCGAATGTTCAACAAACAGTCTGAGTACGGCTTCTTTCCCATAGAGAGTGGTGTGGCGATCGCTGCAATCATTAGCCAAGCGATTGCCTACCCATTGAGCTAATACAAGGCTATAGGTGTTGTGGTGCGTTATCGTTGGCATTTTTCATGAAATAATTATAAACGTTGTCATTGCCAACAGTAGTATTTATTGCAAGAGCAGCTTTCGATGGCTTAGTCATCATAATCAGTTGTCTGCTGAATGGAAGCCACAAAAACGACTACCACTACTACTACTAGGTAGTCGTTTTTGTGGCTTCCATTCAGCAGATAACTGATGATGATGGCTAAGCCATCGAAAACTGCTCTTGCAATAAATACTACTGTTGGCAATGACAACGTTTATAATTATTTCATAGTACAAGGCTGCTGATTGACTTTTGATGACGTTCACACGAAGAAATCGACATTTTTGGGAAGTTTTCGGGTTTCTGGTGGGGGCAGCTGAGTTTCTAGTTGGTCGACGCGAACGCCGTAACGACCTACAACAAGATGGCGCTCGCATGACACGAAATGGCTTTTGATGACGTATAGTTAGTTATGAAACTTCTATAACTTTGATCTCTTCTTGACAGCTTTTGTGACATGCGCTTAAACTTTTACTGACCGGAAACGTGAGGTTTAATCGACATTATGTAATGCGTATAATAAAATACTAACTGTTAATCACGACGAACTAAATAATAACTCATTCACGAGGAATACAGATTCAACTTGTTCTTTTGAAAATTAGCCTGCAAAGAAGGCGGCAAAAAGTTTAAACATCGCTGTTAAACTTTCTCTTATTGCTGCCACTTTTTGTATTGACTTCCACTCTCCATTTTTGCTTCTTTTCACACCTCGTCAGCAATATAAAATTGGTATTGACAACCTCAAATCAAGTAAACGTAATAAACAGAAAATATTCCGAAAAAAAAGTTGGTGACCGGTGAAGTATATTGAGAAGTAGAAATCGTTCCTTCAAGATACGTATACAAATTAATGGACTGAATTATAAAAAACATGTATCACAGGAAACAAAGCACATTTTTAACGATGTATGTACTCAACCCAAGCTTGAACTAGGGTACAAAAGTACCCTGCAATGTACAATCGTACAAAAGCACGAGAGGTACACAAAGTATTGATATCTTTGAAGAACAATTAGATGGAACATTCTTAAACGACAAAGAATTAAGAGCTAGCATGCAGGAATGAAATGTTAAACTTACTTTAGATGCTGAGGCTGGCAGCTTTCACTGATTAATATCGTCCCCTTTTCTTCACAAATACAAATTGGTTTGTAAAATAATTTGATTTTGAACTCATACAAAATACATTTACCAAATACAAATTGCCTGAAAATAACTTATCTAAAATCCCATAAATTCAGTGTATTGAAGCACTAAAAAATGTGAGACCACTCTTAGAGACCACACTTCTAAGAAGCTCAATTTGCACAGAAAGTTACACGTCTATCACCGATCACCACGCCAAGGCAAATGTTCCGTTCATTCAAACACACTCGGCCTCAAGGTAAGTGGTGGGGCAGCTCGGGGACTCATTGGTAGACGCCCAAGCCAGCCTGCACCACGCCAAGATGGCGCCCACCAGGCACCAAATAACTCTTCGTGGCAGGAGCATAAAATTTTCCAAAAGATTGTCATCCGTTTCTTTCCACAACTCTGCGAGAGAGACCCTCAAACGACAATAATGTTGCTCAAAACCATCGAAAGTTGGTTTTATTTATTTTGTTCCGTCAATTAGCAATCAATAATGATAAAATATTAATAAAAAGAAAGTAGTGTAGAAGAGCCTAGAACGCAGACGATCGATTCAGTACATGCGTCTCCTAGGTTCATAACACTATTACAACGTTCTTGTAATGAACATTTACACAGGAAAACGCTGATTAATGGTGGGCTTTAAAGATATTTTTGTTGTACTAAAATTGGTTGCAATAACTAATTAATTATTTTTGTGTGTTTGTGTGTGCGTGCGTGTGCGCCGTTGGCGTGTTTATGTGTATGTGTGTGAGAGAAAGAGAGAGATGGAGAGAGAGAAGGGGGGAGAGAGGGAGAGAGAGAGGGACAGAGAGAGGGGGAGAGAGAGGGAGAGAGAGGGAGAGAGGGAGAAAGAGAGGGAGAGAGAGGGAGAGAGAGAGGGAGAGAGAGGGCGAGAGAGGGCGAGAGAAAGGGAGAGAGAGAGGGAGAGTTTGTAGATATGTATTATGAATGTACGAGTGTGTACGCATTCATCCCTGTCGGCTAGTGGGGTTTTCGATGCACTCTAATAGAGTATCGCTAATGAGAATCACAAGGCAATTTCAAAGAAGAGAGACGTTTTTTATAAATATTTCTCACTAGGAGAAAAAAATTGGACATCCACAAAGTGCCAAAGCACCAACCGTTTCCTTGAGTAACGCCTTTCAGAGTCCAAAATCCATTACGCAGTATCACCCAATCCACAGCCACCACATTCATAGCGGTTTTCAGAACGGGCTTTACCACTTGAATGATGATTCCGGGCACGTCAACGGCCAAGGTCATTAGCTTTGTAAGCTTTATGGTTTTCTTTCATATAAGATGGCGGTGATCTTTACTCCACTTGATGGAGAAATCTCGTGCCGACCAACTCCGGCTTGCCTCAACCAAGTATCTCCCACCAACGTGGCCCCAACCGAGACAAGCTCTAGGCTCCCAACTGGTCTTTCAACATGTGTGGTAATGTAGTGCATGCGTCCTCACCCCTTACTTACACACAA